CCATCTGAAGGCTGTCGAATGTTTTCTCACAATGATATTTTACACCTGAATTGGCCCGATTTTCCTATTGTTTCTGCTCTATTAGTGTAACATTTATGACCTCGTAGTAGTTCTTCCTTTACTGCGCACACTCAACAACTATAACTTCTGATGGATAAGGTCCATGACAATTTCCGGACTCACCCTACCCTAGTCTACATGGGCAACTGGAGCTGAGGCAAACCTCCTGGACCTGATAAAAATATAAGTAACACTTGGCTGAAAGAATTACACAGAGCCTAAGAAAGCCTAAGAAAGGCTACAGTACACTTTTCGATGTGTCTATTTACGAAAGAGCAGCACGCCCTAGTTGTTTTAATATCACCAAACGCGACCTTAAGCCAACTAGAATCCACTCAGAATCTTTCTCCACTGAAATTGCAAAGAATGGAAACAAATCTTTAAGCGAACCATTTTTATACCAAAGGCTGTCGATTATTTTAATGTTACGGATGTATTATGGTTCTGATCACACCTGTATTTGGAGTGATTTTTACTGTTTCAGCTTTTCTAATGTAATATTTATGACCTATTTCAAGTCCCTACTAACTCTACCCCACCCTGCATAGATTCTCAAAAACAAACGGGACAACTGAATATTTGTTTTTGATCTGCACTACCTTCAGCAATCACCGTACTGCGCATATGCAGCAACAGATTAAATTAATCGGCCCCAAATTAAACACGGATTAGGGTTATTTAGGGATAGCTTGTGCAAAATATTTCGTAATTTCCTAGTGCAAGCTCGTGTTTTGGGTCAAATGCGCGCGTGTTGTACCCTAGAGGATCTGGCACATGCACAGATCCTGGTAAAAGTTTTACCTTTTAAGTTGCATATCTATACATGGTTTGCAATAGATTTTTCTAGTGACGCGTTACCTGTGTTGATATATCGGTTTTAAAATCACTAAACACTGTAAACATGACCTTAAGACCTAGAATCAGCGCTTCCTTAAGCAATCACACTGTTGCGCATAGGCTAAAAGTATTGACGACAGATTAAATAATTTAGCAGCTCAAAATCACGTGGAGATCAATGTCTGTTCAGGCAAATGGTCTCCAATCAAGTCGAAAGCACTTAGCTTTTGTGCGACATCTCACACACCAGCTAGCTTTCAGGTATTACACACAAAATGAAAATTTAAAATAACTAGATTTAACATCATATCTAGTAAGCACAAATAACTAATAGAAAAAATGAAAATGAAAAATCTGTTTACGTAGGGCTAGAGAATTACAATAAATTAATTTCACCAATGAGATAAGGCAACTGGGAAATCCTCATTACGTAAAAGCTTTTCATGAGTCTACTAAAAGTATCTCAGGCCGAAAGAGATTGCTTATTGCCCTTCTCGATCGAACTGTTCGGGAAACCACGGAAGTTCCCCTCTTACGGATATTGGAAAGATTAAGAGTCACGTTATCGTGACTAGGTTTTTACCGGTTCACAAAGACAAACATAAAGCGGGGCTCTGTCTAAAGCAAAACATTACCAGCCAAGCGGGAGACGGGCTGCAGTGTCAGCGGTTCGGCTGAAGCTGGGATGTAACAGAACACTCTTTTATACGTGTGTAGTGAAGAACCTGTCCAAATTTGACGTTGAAAATATCCTATATATACGTTATTAGAAAAAGGTCGAAAATACTAGAACCTTGATGTTAAAGGTGTTTATTAAATTTAAGCCGTTATTTGAGGAAAATTGCATCCTATTTTTATTCAGACAGTGTCGTGAGCCTTTTTGCGAAATTTAGAGGTATCACAATTGTCACGCTGACCTGAAAAATATTAATTTATCTAAAGTAATAGAAACATCCTTTGAAAATTATTTTTTTACACTTCATTTAGTTTTAGCATTTTGAAAACGTCACGTTTAACCTTCAAATTATATTGTGGATCATAATGTTACGCTTTCAAATCCCAGGGGGTGGGGAGGGGGGGTCGGTGGGTACTCCGGATTTCAAGTGACTGGGATAATTGAAGGATTTTTTTAGTTTTGAAATTCTCGGTTTCGGGATTTTTGGGGTCGGAAAATTTTGGCAGTTATTTTTGGGGGTAGCTTGATTTAATTAAGTAGGGATTTTTTCGGGCATTCAAAGCAATCTAAAGATTCCTGATAGTTCCCACCTATCCTGGCCGCGTAGTTCCGAGAATAAATTTTTATGGCACGGAAATTCGGCATAGGATTTTTTGGGGGTTAAATTTTGGTCCAGGGAGTTTTTTGGGTTTTGTTTAAAGCCCTAGGGATTTTTTGGGGTTTTGATTTTTGCCCCCCTTCGATCATCCCTGTCATTTGAAATCTTGGGTGGCCACCCTGGGTTTCAATACACTCAATTTCATTTCCTTATGATAGCGATGCAAATTGCGCGAGTTAGCCAGAAGCGCGAAGCTCTCGGGTTTTCTTTTTCTTTTCTTTTTTTTTTCTTTTTGAAATAAAAAGTGTCTTTACCTCGCATTTTTCATTTCTAACTTTAACTACTGGTCAGAGACATTTTTGCAATAAAAATGCCACTGCAAAGTTGAAAAAAGTTAACGAGCGTGCCCTTCGTTTTGTCTTTATTGTGCTGTAAAATACGCTGTAAAATACTCAGTCAACAGGATAGGCTTACCATGATGACTTGTGAATCAACACCTCGAAAAAGTAGTCTCAACGGTTTTCAATTTTATTGATAATGAACAAGGTCCAAAGAGCATTTGAGTACTGATCGGATATCGAGTAACTGATATTTTAAAATGGCCAAAGGCCAACACTTTAACTTACGGCCTAAAATCGTGGGGTCGGTTTACGGCGCCAAAACTCTGGAATTCAATGCGCAACTCACACAGCACTATTCGATCTTTCAAGGTTTTTTAAAAATAGCATTAGAAAATTAGACTTTTCAACTGACATCTGACTTATACGAATGGTGATATTTACTCCATTCAGCCTTCCCTGAACGAAGACTTGCTCAACATAAATAAATATGACTAAAACTGAGTTCATGTTAGTCGGCTCAAGGCAAAAGCTTAATAAGCTACCTTAATATAAATAACGTTCCTATCAAACATTATGAATGCTCTAAGTCTCTTGGCGTGCTTATTGACGAAAATCTTACATGGGAAAATCATGTTGACGCTTTATCTAAGAAAATTGTGTCTGGTATTGGAGCTATAAAACGCATCAATTATTGTTTACCCCCCACCGCCTTGCATGATGTATATTATGGCCTTGTCCAATCACACTTGGACTATTGCAGCGTGGTATGGGGTAGCTGTGGTAGTGTTAAATTGCAGCGGCTCCAGAACCGTGCGGCACAAGTTTTCAAAAACTCCAATTATGATGCAGATGCGAGTATACTTTTAAATGACTTGGGGTGGCAAAATCTTGAGACTCAGCGGCAAATTCATAGGGCTGTGATGGTGTATAAATCTATGAATTACCTTGCACCTGATTACATGACTTCAAAATTCATACTACACAGCGATTTATTTAATTCCCACAACTTAAGAGATTTTGAAAATAAGCCTGCTGTTCCCTTGCCACGAACCAATAACTATAGAAATAGCTTCTGCCAGAGCGGAAATGTTCTGTGGAACAATTTGCCCACTGATGTAAGACAATCAAATTTGCCAACTATGCATGAACTGACGTTGATCTCCACGTGATTTTGAGCTGCTAAATGATTTAATCTGTCGTCAATAGTTTTAGCATATGCGCAACAGTGTGATTGCTTAAGGATGTGCTGATTCTAGGTCTTAAGGTCATGTTTAGTGATTTTAAAACCGATATATCAACACAGGTAACGCGTCACTAGAAAAATCTATTGCAAACCATGTATAGATATGCAACTTAAAAGGTAAAACTTTTACCAGGATCTGTGCATGTGCCAGATCCTTTAGGGTACAACACGCGCGCATTTGACCCAAAACACGAGCTTGCACTAGGAAATTACGAAATATTTTGCACAAGCTATCCCTAAATAACCCTAATCCGTGTTTGATTTGGGGCCGATTAATTTAATCTGTTGCTGCATATGCGCAGTACGGCGATTGCTGAAGGTAGTGCAGGTCAGAGATTTTAACGTCAAAAACAAATGTTCAGTTGTCCCGTTTATTTTCAGTATCTATGCAGGGTGGGGTAGAGTTAGTAGGGACTTGAAATAGGTCAAAAATATTACATAAGAAAGGTTGAAACAGTAAAAATCACTCCAAATACAGGTGTGATCAGAACCATAATACATCCGTAACATTAAAACAATCGACAGCCTTTGGTATAAAAATGGTTCGCTTAAAGATTTGTTTCCATTCTTTGTAATTTCAGTGGAGAAAGATTCTGAGTGGATTCTAGTTGGCTTAAGCTCACGTTTGGTGAAATTAAAACAAGTAGGGCGTGCTGCTTTTTCGTAAATAGACCATTGCACATCGAAAAGTGCACTGCAGCCTTTCTTAGGCTCTGTGTAATTCCTTTTAGTTCAAAACGCCAGCCAACTTTTACTTATATTTATTTCAGGTCCAGGAGGTTTGCCTCAGCTCCAGATGCCCATGTAGAGTAGGGTAGGGTGAGTATGGAAATTGTCATGGACCTTATCCATCAAAAGTTATAGTTGTTGAGTGTGCGCAGTGAAGGAAGTACTACTACGAGGTCATAAATGTGACACTAATAGAGCAGAAACAATAGGAAAATCGGGCCAATTCAGGTGTAAAATATCATAATCTGTAATACCAAAATTGAGGGTGAGAAAACATTCGACAGCCTTCAGATGGTATAAAAAAGGTACCCTCGTAGATTTGCATCCATTCTCAGTGGAGAAAGGTACAATTCCTCTGCCACAAGAAGAACAAGAACTGTCGCTTTTCTGTTACGAGAGATAAATGGTAAGATTTATTTGACAATATCTTCAAGAGATTTGCTGTTAGCACCGAGAACAACGAAACAACCCACTTCTAAATAATACAATCACCGATAATCCCGAGAGCGCTGTTGGCTTGCTTTTAAGCAGAAGCGATTAATCTCTAAAATTTGTTTCCTTCATCAGGAGTTCAAGGTGTTCCTTCTGTGTTTTGCGGTCCTTGTTGTTGCCACATCTGCAGCGTCTGTATGTAAATGTGAAGACAAAAAGGTACAATTTAAAGTTGTGTCCTTTAATTGGAGTACTTAAATATAACTGTTATACATTTACTGGCTTTCAGTTTACGCCAGTTATTCCTCGTGTAGTCCGCATTTTCTGGAACTCTCCGTAAAAATGTCGAGACATTTGGTACAAAAAAGGAGTGGAAAAGTTATTAGTCAATGTGAAAAATTATACAAATTCAAGAAACTTGGTTTTGTACAATTAAAGGCCAACTGATGTCTCTCTTATGTTGCAGCAAAGCGTGTCCAAATACAAGGTAAAAGTAAAGAATGGAGATAAAGAGTTTGAAGAAGAAGTTGAAATCGACACTGAGAAACAAACAGAAACCTATCGCATCCCAAAGACAGATTCTGGGAACGCGGGAGAAGTCGATGTTGTTTACGACTTTAAGAAGGTAAAATACTTTGGTCAAGGCAAAGTGGGTGTGAAATTTAATGATCTTGATTGAAAGTTTTCTCAACTCGATTTTAATTATTCGCATTATTGCTTACATACTCTCTCGCTCAGCCAAATATCTGTCTATATCGGTGTTGTAATCTGACTTTACACCTGTTCGTTTTATTCATTGTTTCCTTTAAACTTTATTGTGAATTATGATATCACAACAACATTGCTTATGTTTTCCTTTTGTTGTAGAACTTGACCATGCAACGACTGTCGGCTGCAAAAGCCTGTTTTCTGAGTGAATTCGCTGAAAATATGCCCAAGCCTAGTGACCTCGTCAAGTTACTTGACCAGGTAATTCAAGTGAGATTCTTTTTCATTGGGATATTTAGGTCGCTACGGTGTTTTAATAGGAAATAGAAGTGAAGTTTAAGGTGGTAAATTTGAATGTCGTTACGAAAATGCCAATGATTAAGTTTTCAATTAGTTTTGAAAATATTTCGACAAGCTTGTGTTAAGCCCCACTTAACGAGCATAGCAAGCCTAGAAAACCTTTTTTTATTTTTCATAAACTTATTGGATGGCCGGGAAGTCCTACCCCCTTACCAACGTTCCCCCTTACCAAGTTTCTGAGTTTTCGAGTTGCAGGAATTTTTCTTTAAAATAAGGGCTTTTTAATACAGGCGATTAAACATTCGAAAACAGGGCAAGTTAATGTTTAAAGTGGACTGCTTTCGTTTAGTATACACTGAACTTCTCCTGTGCGTGAAGGTTACTAAAGGCGTTTTAGGCTTATCTTATTCTTGTTACTCTTTCCAAAAGAGCGCCCCAACGACAACAGCTAGAAATGAGACGAACAATGAATACGAGGTCGTTTCGACTGTCACTGACCGCTCGGACCTGAGTGATGAAATGGCTTCTATGTGTGCCAAGCTGCCCATTTATCGCGTCAAAAAGACAACGCCGTTGTCCATAAGTGTTAAACGTAAGTGTTCCACTTTATTAGCTAGCGTAATGTTTAGAACAACAAAGTGTCATTCATTTAGTCATTGCTAAAAAAAAAAATCACTAAAAACATTTCGTTTTCAGTGGAGGTTAAGTTGGAAACTAATGTCTTGGAAATATAAATGCTAACTCGAGAAGAAATTTTGGCCAAAAAAATCATCTACCAACAACTGACAATTTCGCTTTTTCTTCCCTGGCTCTTACTTCACTGAGCAATGAGAGGGAGGGTGACCTTTATATACGTTTTTGTTTTGTTGGGAGCACGACTTGTAACCTTCAACCCACTCATAGGCCCGTCATTAATGTCAGTGTTGGATATAAGTCCCTGAGTCAGTCAATGAAAATCACTTTCAAATCGAAGAAATTTAGAGGAAATGCATGGTGTGGATTGGGCATGCGTCAAAGCACGAGTTGTTAGTCAACAATTCTTTTTTTGAGGAAGTTGTTATTCGGGCTATGTGGATAACAGCCGCCGAGATCTGCATAATTCTTCATATCATACGAAAGCCGAGTTCAATAATTGTTTTAATATTCATTCAAAGATTTTAAGTTCTTAACAACCTTACCTCCTCATAAACTTTCTTTAAGATATTTGCCTGTTTCGCGGCATAGTTTTAGAATCTGACCAGATGTTCAGTTTTCCTTGCAGATACTCCTCAAAAAGTAGATTACATCCATCGAGCATCACTTTTTGCGTATTCTTGCATTTTTTCCGTTCAGTCGGCTGTGTCGTCTTCGGATAGCCGTGAGCTCTTTCGCCATTTCTTGAGTTTACTCATGCCAAGCATCGCTCGCTTCTTCCAAATTTTGTCAGCGCCAATTAGTTATGAATAATTAACCTGGGGGTTTAAAACCAATCAGAAACGGCAAAATGTTTTGAATGAATATTAAATTTATTGATGTTTGACAGATTTATGACGAATTTCAAGAGCTCAAAGTTACGTACTTATTTAACCAGAGTAAATAACTTTGAAAAAAACTTCGAAGATCGGGGAATTCTTGATATGTTTCGTGACTCACAGGAAAATCTCCTTCCTTTTCATTTTGACATTGTTTGTTTTGTTACGTATGACACTTGCGAATTATGTCGCATGTGAATAACTTTTACTCCGTAAAGCCTATTTCGTGTTTTAAACTTTCTACTTTTATAACAGTTTCAATTTATTTATTTTTATTGAAAGTGTCCTTGTAATAAAGGTTTACTTGCTTTTATCCACTTACTCATATTGCAGGTGTGAAGCGTTGCGTCGTTGTCTGCTACACGAGATGCTATTATTGCCGTAGGTGTTACTATTGTTCGTGGTACGTTTGTTGTGGACGGACATGTGTCATACTCTGCTAAAAAAAATGAGAGCTGGCGCAGAGCTACTGAACATGCCTGTGCAGTGATCATCGCACTAGATCGACTTTATAACTCGAAGTGATCCTAGGACACATGGTAGTACATCCAGTTGCTACATCTATGATTTTACACTAGTTGATAGAAATAAGGAGATGTTATTCTCAATTTAAGCGTTAAATAAAAACAATCAGTTTGGTTTTGGAAGAAAGTAAGGTCAAAATAGATTTAAGGCTTTTTTTATTATAAATCTCTGAGGTGTCAGTATGAATCTAGAATACTTAAACTCGCAACTGGTGCAATTTAACAAACAGTAATAAGAAAGCAAATAAAGTCAATTGAACTGTTAAGTCTGGTGTGTGTGTTTTCACTTTTGTCCAAGGGGCTCAGAATGGAACTGCGAACCCCGGTTTTGTAGTTTGATCTTACAAATTAAAAAGTAGTTTGAACTGAGACGTAATTGTGATTTGAACACCTGTGTCACGTTGTAAGTGTCTCAGTATGAGAGGAAACCATTGAAAACGGCAGGGTTTCTAGCAAAACGCTCACGCCGCCGAACGAAGAATGACACAGCCGTTTAGTGATTAGCTTTTGGCCGAAACTAAGTGAATCAAGTTGCATTTCATTTTGCCCTCAAGTGGAGCTTGATTTACTCAGTTCCCAACCCTGATCACTTAACTTCCGTCTTTTGTCGTTCTGCAAATACCCCGCCCGTGTTGAATACGGAACGAGATCTTGGATAACGTCTGATAACCCTGCTGTAACCAAATATGGTGAATGAGCTAGTCATAGAGTAAGCTAGAGTGAAAACGTTTTCTTTTTCTCGCAGAGACCGGAAAAGAATGGCGGCCGGCGAAAGCACAGACTGTTCTCGTCAAAATTACTAAAAGAAAACTGAATAACTGGACTATTACAGCAAACACTTAGAAAGTCATATACCGCAATTACTCGAATAGCGCTCCCCTTAACGGGCCTGTTTCACTGTACGGCGCTTGTCTAATGTGACAATAACTTAATGCTTTTAAATCAATCGGAAAAGAATTTACATCATTCAAGTTTATCGTTCGCGACGCGCGAGTCTTTCGGACGAGTAGTTCGATATTATATATCCCAGGCATTTTATCGCCAAAAGTCGGTCAACCTGCCACTAATTGCAAAAGAGGGTTTTTTAACGGTTTTGGTCCAGGAACGTGTCCTCTATAACATATCAAAAGTCCTCGAAAATCCGAGTAGGGGAAATTGACGAAAAACGAGTTTTTGAGAGGCCTATACTGCGCAGCATGGAAACGGGGTTGCATTTACTGTCTGTTGTGTTGCTCCAGTTTGAAGCCACGTGCAACATGGGCTAGTGAAGATTGAGAGAATTTATTGTGTTTTCCTCCTAGGTAAGTGCATTTATGTAATCATTAAATAAAATAACTGTTCTTTATAAGATTCTTAAATCAGGAAAAAAAACAACAAAAAAAAAAACACGTAAAACCTGTCGAAAATGTCCACGATTGCTATAGCTAACTATCTCGGCAAAGCATTTAGCGAGGAATTACGTCTTCTTAACCCACAAGCGAATTTAGAACTTTTAAAAGGATAATTTTACACTGAAAGTAAAAGTAATGTTATGTTCTAAGATTATATAATCCAAGAAAAAATTATTTGACTTAAATGTCTAGAGTAGAGACTTCCAAAATGAATCTTTCACCTCGGCGAAAAACCTGTTTTTCACTCATCGCTTTGCGCTTACTTTTTTGTCACGAAACTTGACTCATTACTGAAAACAGTATGCTGCCCAGTATCCGGACACTTCAGTTTAATATTGCAATAACTTTCTTTTGCTAGACGCAAGAGCTCTGAAATTTGGCCCAGAGAAAATCTCTTTAGTCCTTTATATGACGAAAGACAGTTTACTTTTTTTGCCTTTGTTTCCATCGCGAAATTAATATTTTTGCAGAGCTCCTATGTTGTCCAGTATCCGGCCACAACAATAACAACGTAATTTTACATAAATTTTGACAGGCAAGCGACTTAAAAGCTTCTCTTGCACTTGCAAAGTAGTCTGATAATCGATTACAAAAATATAACCTAGCATCGTGAAATAAAACATAACAAATTACTGGGTTATGGTGAGCAACGCGAGCGGCTGTTAAATGGTATAATTCTTACTTCCTTGTCTAGGAGCTTTTTCACTGATTTAAGGAAGACATCCGTGGACATGCCGAAGCCGCGGTTTGCTAGCTCAATTAGCCAATCTGCTGTTCCATCATACTTGTGTTTTTATTTATATTTTATTTTTATTTATGTTTTATTTTGATTTGATTTGATTATTTTTTTTTTACCCTTTTTAAGATGTGTATGCTAAAAATTTCCGAATATGTACAGTAGGGTTATATGTAAGCTTGTGCTTAATGATAATCTTATGTCCTTTTTTACATTGTAAAGCGCTTAGAACAGCGATGTATAAGCGCTATGTAAATTCCATTATTATTATTATTATTATTATTAAAAGCTTCTCTTGCACTTGCAAAGAAGTCTGGCAATCGATTACAAAAATATAACCTAGCATCGTGAAATGATTAAAAACATAACAAATTACTGGGGTATGGTGAGCAACGCGAGCGACTGTTAAATGGTATAATTCTTACTTCCTTGTCTAGGAGCTTTTTCACTGATTTAAGGAAGACATCCGTGGACATGCCGAAGCCGCGGTTTGCTAGCTCAATTAGCCAATCTGCAAACGACTTTATTTCTTCATTTTTTATTAAAGAAAAAAAGCTTGGGGAAGGGACCTCAATCTGAAGGGTCAAAGGTCACCCTCCTGGAAAGGTAAAAGGTTTACCACGCGACCATTATTAAGGTGGCCCGAACCTATTTGTATGCGCGTTGGTTATGTTTTTGAATCGTGTTTTTCAGCGGAAAGATTTAACCGATTTCTATGATTTTTGGCATACTTAGGTCGAACTTTAAGAAACTGTTATTTTTTGTCTTGTAGATATAAAAACGTTTGAGTTATCGGAATATGTTTAAAACCCCATTTTTGCAAAAAAATGTCAATAACTTGGAAACCCTATAATCTTACATCTATAATTTTACATCTAGTTAATAGTCTCATTTGTACACCTAATAAATAGAAATCACCTTTGGCCACAGTAGATAAGGAGTGGAAAACAAATTCTTCCCGAGCAAAATCACCTTTGTACCCACCTACACCACCATTATTCTATAATTTTATGCTATAAAGGCCGTTAAGACACGATAGTCCCCGGTGGCAGCCAATTTACTCGTTATAACTTCTCGGTGTCTCTCTGTCTAAAAGAAAGGCCAAAACGAAAAATCAGGCTGGATTCTTTTTGTGTGGCTCGCGATCGATACAATTCTATCTGGTAGCGTGTAAACCAGCCTTTTTACTCCATCTCTGAGGTAAAGAATTATCTACAATCAACTCTTTGCCTATTAATCGGATCATAATATTTTGTCAGAGCACTAATCTGAATTCCGTACGCTTCATTTAACGGTTACAGCCTTATTGGAGGCAACCGATAGTTGGGCCTATGATATTGATATAGGTAATGTTAACGCTGTTATTTTTCTTGACCATAAGAAAGCGTTTCGTACTCAGAAATGCACTGTCAATTGTTCC